CTATAAAGGAATTCATGGTTTATCTGAACCTAAGTACCTCCTTATAAATGGGGACTAATGTACAGTAGAAACTACTGGGTTTTAGATCTCAGCTTGGCTACAAATTAGCTGTAAAGTCTTGGACAAATTGCCTTACCTCTCTGGGTCTCTCATTTTTCTTTTAGAAAATGAGAGCACTACACTACATATTATTAAAGGTATCTCAGCTCAGGGTTAACAAATTCCATCAGTCTTGAAAGTTTTCATTTTTTGTGTGTCACGTGGGTAAAAAGAAAAAATGGTGGTTTTCTATCAAAGGAGCTATTGTTGTTGTTAAGTGCCGTCTATGGCATAGCTAATTTGGAAAGTATTAATGGACTAACTTACTCTAGATGCTATTTTATCTTGTTGTTGTTGTTAAGTGCTGTCGAGTCAATTGCAACTCATAGCGACCCTGTACAGGGTTTCCAAGGAGCAGCTGGTGAGCTTGAACCAAGGTCCTTGCAGTTCAAATGGCTTTGCAGTCTGATTCATTATGCCACATCAGGCCATATCAGGATTTGATCTTACCTCACACAAAACAGTCTAGTTATTTAATTGAATGTTTAATTTAGATGAAAGAACTGTAATTATGTAGTGTGTCTATACAGAACCTGTGTTTGTAAAGTGAAAATAAAGAGAAATAAAAATAATGGCCATATTAATTAAATTAGGTATTCTAAGTACAGGCTGTAGATTAGAATCACACTGTTGTCGTTAAGTGCTATGGAATCACATTGTTATTGTTGTTGTTGCTGTTGTTAAATGCTGTGGAGTCAGTTCTGATCCATAGTGACCTTGTATAGGGTTTCTGAGGAGTCGCTGGTGGGTTTGAACTACCAACCTTGTAGTTCAAACTGACTTTGTGGTCCAGCACATTATCCTGCAGCACCACACCAGGACTCTAAGAGAGTCACACTTGTTGTTGTTGTTAAGTGTCAACAAGTTGGTTCCAACCCATAGAGACCCTGTATAGGGTTTCCGAGGAGCAGCTGGTGAGCTTGAACCACCGACCTTGCAGTTCAAATGGCTTTGCAGTCTGGCGCATTAACCCACAGTGTCACACACGAGGACTCCCTGTACACAGTAGGTACATATTAAATGATTCTTAAACTTTAAATTGTCTGAAAAATATTTCAATGTCACCCGCTCCCCCCTCCCCCCCAAAAAAAAAGAAAACTGTGGGATTCCACTATTTCTCTGTCCTTGCCTTCTCCAACAGTGGCAATCAGTCACTGAAA